GGCTGACAAAAATCAAAGGTCCAAGTTTTCCAGTGGGGACCAAGAGAAAATGTTATTAATATCCAACGTATAATCAAACTTAAACACAACCTAGAGCAAGTTCAGAAAGCTTAATAATCTTCAGAGTGGTTCTCACCATTCATTAAGGGCATCCCAAGGTTTAAAGGAATGTAATTCTCATCCTCTGATGATGATATGATGATATTACTGATAACCACAGGAAGAATCTGAATGGATTGAGACATACCATTTCACTAAGGGGCAGGTCAACAAATGTTCCATACCTTTGAAGGACCTACCATGTCACCAGCACTCTGTGAGGAACAACATGTCCCATGGATGTGACCTATTTTGCAACCTTTTTTTTTTTTTAAAGCAGTTTTAGATTCTCAGCAGAACTGAGAGGAAAGTGCAGAGATTTTCAATATACCCCCTGCCCCCACACAGGCATAGCCTCCTCGATTATCACCGTCCCTCACCAGAGGGGTGCATTTGTCACCGTTGATGAGCCGACGTTGACACAGGAGTGATTTTGCAGAGTCCACAGATTGCATTACGGTTCCCTCTGGGTGCTACACTTTCTGTGTGTTTGGAAAAAGTGTTACGACATAATGTTATCGTACTGAATAGTCTCACTGCCTTACAAATCCTCCGTGTTCGGCCTGCTCATCCCTGTGTCCCCGCTAAGCCTTGGCAACCGCTGACCTTTTTACTGCCCCATAGTTTTGCCTTTATTACCTGTCGTTTTAGAAAAGCAGGTTTGTCTTTCAAATGATTGCTTGCTTAGCTTTTATATTAAAATTGGTTCCTATTTTCTATGAGCTGACTACACAAGCTCACCAGACAGGCAGAAGGTGGCCTAGAAATTCATAGGGCAATTCAGAGGTTTGTACATGAATCACTGAAGGAGATATGTGCTCATTAGTATTTCATTGTTCAAAATATCCTCAAGTTCAAGGATTCTTGCTGAGGGTACATGGTAGGCATTTTATATGCTGGCTTCTCTTTGTGGCTACTGTATAAATTCTGTGAGAAGGGACTGACTGGAAGAAACATCACTAAATTATACACAGAATAGCTACTCAAGGACAGGTGACAGTATAAGTTTTTCTAAGTTTTTTTGTGACTGTCCACTTCCACCAACCAAGTAATCTCTCTCTGTCTCCTCACAAAATTATGGTTGTGGGGAAATGCTGAAGACATGTGATTTGAGATAAGGCAATCCAGTACGTTAAGTAACCATGAACATGTCGCCGGAGCAAATAGACCCCACCCCCGGTTCCATAGCGGCTAGGGCCAGCCGTTAGGCCTGAGAGGCAGAGGCAAAAGAAGAAATGTCCAAAAGGAAAAAGGGAAAGGGTAGCAAATCCAAACTTCCTGAATTCCAGCCGCCCTGGCACCTAGGAGTAGGAGGATTTCTCCTTGCTTTGCCTGGCCCAGGGCCTCCCGGCCTCGGCACTGCTGGCGTTGGGGCTGGATGGTCTTGGTTGTGTGGCTGTCCTGTGCATGGTAGGGTGTTCACTGTCATCCTCAGCCTCTGACCAGCAGATGTAGTAACAGCTTCCCCCAACCCTGCCCCTTCAGTTCGTAAAAAACAAAAATGTCTCCAGACCCACTGGTAGATGCCAGTAGCACCAGTCAGACGTGACAACCAGAAATGACTCAACATTGGCTGATGCCCCCTGGGGTGCCAATTCAATGCCTGCTGAGAACCACTGATCTAACACCTTCCTTAGGGTACTGGTTCATACACTAGCCTGCACTTGACCTGACTGTCTGTGGGACAGAGAACCTGACTAAACGGTTCACACCTCCTGCGGAAGTAAGTTCCAGGGGTCGAGTGGCTGATTTGCAGTAAGATGTGGTTGTCCTGCCAACCGTGTTTGTACACGAAGCTATACGTCTCCTCTTGCATTGGTGCTGTGAATTTCTCCTTCCAAAATAGCACTTCTTCAAGCTTGCATTTTGTATGATTACTGCATTTTGTACCTTTTCACTTAAAGGAACAATATACTAGTGAATATTGGCATGAAGAGAGGGCACATTTTGAATATTAGTTATTTAGTATTTTAAAACCAGGTTTTACCTGATAATATGTCTCAGGTGAGCAAAACTGCGAGTTCGGTAAAATGGTTCTATACCAAAAGCTTAGGTGAAGATGCCATTTGTCACTTCCACTCCATGAAATGTATTCCAAGTCTTTTAAAGAACCTTGCCTGAGGGTCAGAAACACAGTGGCCCTGGTCTGGACTTCCTCTGATGAGCTGTGACTTGGGAAAATCACTTACCTCTGGGTTTAGAGCTTCCTCTTGTGTCATGTTTAGGGGGACAGACTAGATAGCATTCCAGGACTGTGCCGACTCAACATCATGTTACATTTTTAAAATATGTTCATGAATTATGAAATTAAATTCTTTTTTGAGTTTTGGATTTGTTACAGAGTAGTGAGACCTAAAGGAAGATAAGCTAGAGGAACAAGGTATACATTTCATTCAAAGATGACTCCAGACAAACAGATGTATTAAAATGAGCTGTGTCATATAAATGGAAAGAGATACTCATTCATTGCTAAAAATTATTAGCTCTAGACTACAAGAGGTGGTTTTTGTGGGTAACCAGGCTTGCCCTCAACTACTCTGCTGGAGGAATATTTAAAAATTTATAAAGCAAGATTGTGCCTTTGACCAAAAAAAAAAAAAATCTCAACCTGTCAGTATCATTTTTATTTCTTGCTTCCATTTTGTATAAAAAGATAGTGAAGACATCAAATAATGTGAAAGAAATCTCATGGTCTGTCATCTCTGTAAAACCACTTAATTGCCTCTGGCTAGTGTAGTCCATGAATCTTTTAAACACAGTAGAGACAGCTTTTCAAATAGCAATGCCATATTTATTACATAATCTAACTCACTTACTCAGCAAATGTGTTTTATTGATAAAGTACAGATTTTAGATGTTCTACGGTCAGTTCTGCAGCTGGGTGTAGAGAAAAATAACATTCCATTCTAATTCTTGAAATAATTACTTTCTCTCTTACATTAGCAAATCTATTTTCATTCTTCTCAGCTACTATGCAAGTGTCTTATTTCATAAAATTAAATAGTTCCTTTTCAAATTTAGCTATATTTGATAATCATCATTCAGAACAATGACCAGAATAATAAAAACTAATTCTCTTCTTTCCTGAACACTTTTGAATTTTTCTTCCTGCATTTTAATTACTTTACTAAGTTAGAGACATAATATTTGATGCTTCTAACTATTCTGAGATTGATTGTTAATGAATGAAAGGGGCATAGAAAAAAGAGCTAATCTGGAATGTCTCTAAAATATAGTTATTGAATTATGCCAAATATATTGTCAGATTTCTCCATTTTCTTATTTAGGTGATAAATTCCCTTTCAGGATGATAATTAATTTTTGGCTATTGGTTTATCTCTTTTATATGCAAACTGAGACTTAAAGATTTAGCAGCAGTCTTTGAATAAAAACTGAGATTTGCCTTAGAAATGTTAGGGCACAGTCCTAAAGCTTACCGATGCTTCAGTGTACTTAATATAAAATGGAAATAATAGCTACAGAATACAATGGAGGATGCCTAATGGGTGTTATGTTCATGTAAAATGTTAAATATTATTTCTAAATACTAGGATTTAATCAAATAATCTTAGCATCTTTCTGCTCCCACCAAGTAAAACTGTAATAGCTAGACCAGTAAAATGTAAAGTGCAGAACACGGTCTTTCCTATAACTTCCCATGTTATTAATAGGGTCAAAGGAAAAATATTTTGGGAAAGAGATTCAGAGATAAAGTGAGGAGGAGAAAGAAATAGGATGAATTTCCAAAATCATGCAAATTGCCATGCTCTGACAATGCAGTTGGAATGGAAATTCTACTTTTGAAATAGATGCCGCTTCTTTCCACAAACAAAACGGAGGGCCAGTGTTCTCCTGTCTGCAAAGGGGAACACATGTCATAGCTACATTCATTTCAAACCACTGAAGTGACAGGGTGGCAGTACTCAGTAAGAAACCAGGCAGCTTTCGGCTACGTTTCTGTTGCTCTAAGTGCTTTTCAGACATTATGATTGACTATGTTCTTTCTGCTTACCCTAATTTGCCCACGCTATTCCTTAAGCTGGCTGACCTACCCCCTCAGTAAAAAAGAAAATGAGAGGAAAATAGTTTGTGTCTTACTGTGGCGGTTGCTGTGTCTTGCATGAAGCTTTCTTTATATGTATATTGGACTTCCTTCCTCATTCCCATCCATTATTTTTTCCTATCTCTGGATGTAAGGTTCTTAATGATGTTACAGGTTTTGTCAGATGAGGACAGACGGCTGGTGAACGTTCTGTCTTGTCTACCCCTTTGCTGTATCTTACCAAAGCCCTGTTCCATGATAAACACCTAGAAATATTCAGAAGCCCAAATAGTCAAGAAAATGTTTACTGTAATGCTTGGTTTTCACCACATTGTGTCAAGTAATTTGATGGGATAATCGTGCTATTATGTGGAAATGATTTCCTTTTCCGGAATCAAATTGATTCTAATGTTACAACTATACATTTTATTCTTTTTTTTTTATCCTCACCCGAGGACATTTTTTTCATTTTTTGTTCAGATAGAGTGGGAGGGAGAGAGAGAGAGAGAGAGAAACATCGACCTGAAAGGGACATATCCAGTGGCTGCCTCCCACACAACCCAACCAGGGCCGGGGACAAACTGCAACCGAGGTACATGCCCTTAGCGGGAACCGAACCTGGGTCTCTCTGGACCGCAGGCCGATGCTCTAACCGTTGAGCCAAACTGGCCAGGGCATACATTTCATTCTTCTTTTACCTAGTACCAAACGAGGTTTTTTCATCCCCTGTTATCAAAGTTGACAGGTGTGAATCATAGGCAGCTTAAGAGGGTATATCAAAGTGGGGCCATAAAATATATTTAACTTAGGAAAGTTGGAGCTGTTTTAAACATGTTACATCATTACTCTTTGCAACCAGGAGGAAGAAGGAACCTACGACCAAACCCTCGAGTTCCGTCGAGGAGGTGACGGCCAACCGCGGCGGTCCACTCGGCCGACCCAGCAGTTCTACCAGCCGCCCCGGGCGCGGAACTAATGCGAGAAGGTAAGGTTGACATTGTGAGGTGGTTTCCATACTGAAAAAGAGAGGCTATTCGTGTGGAATAAGTAAGTCCAGTTATTAATATTTCATAACAATGTAATAGAAAAAAACTGATGTTTTAAAATTTTCCATTATAAAGTATTTGAGATTAAACCCTAGTTATAAACTACTTTTCCACCAAACCTTTCTCCACAAATGCTCTTCCTAATCCCCGTTTTTCTCTGTACCCACTGCCTTCGAATGGGGGTGGAAAGCAAGAAGGTGAATGAAAACAAAGGGCTAACCTGAATAATTGAGTATATTTGTTATTTTTAAATTAATTCCAATTCTTTTTAAGAAAGAGTAAATGTTTCGCACATGATACGTTTAGACCACTTGTGATTCCTGCTGCACTTGGCTGGGGGAAGGCCAGATTTCAAGTAAAGGTTGAGTTCCAGAAACTGTTAGCATTTTAAAGGCACACAGATGGAGGAGGCAGTACTCTGGATCCTGCTCATCTGATCAGTGCTTTTCAACCTGGCTATGCTTTAGAACCTGGGGATCTTCTGAAAATACCAGTACCCTGTACCCCACCCCAAACCATTTATATTAGAAGTTGAGGTGATGGGGCCAGGCATGCAGACCACTGATCTAAATACTTCCCAGCAGTGATCCCCACAGAGAATGGTTTTGTTCCCTGAGGGAACATGCCGCTGTCAGGAGACCTGTTTGGTTGTCACAACTTTCAGCTGGGGTGGATGTTGCTACTGGCATCTAGTGGGTAGAGGCCAAGGATGCAGCTTTAGTAAGTGCCTGGGACAGCACCCGGGTTCGGTGATGTCACGAGTGCTGGGATGAGAAAGCCTCCTTTAAAATGAAAGCACTATGCCTTGGCCGGTTTGGCTCAGCGGTTAGAGCATCAGCCTGTGGCCAGAGAGTCCTGAGTTCGGTTCCTGCTAAGGGTGTGTACCTTGGTTGCACTTTGTCCCCGACCCTGGTTGAGGTTGTGTGGGTGGCAACCAGTTGATGTGTCTCTTTCTACATCGATGTTTCTCTGTCTCTCTTCCCTCTTCTCTCCCTCCCGCTCTATCTGAAGATAAATATAAAAAATGTGCTCAGGTGAGGATAAAATAATAATAATAATAATAAAATAAAATAAAAGCAGTACTTCTGAAGTCAAAAACAAAGAAAAAAGGAAAAAAAAGCAGAAATGGCCCTGGCCAGTTTGGCTCAGCAGTTAGAGCTTCGGCCTGCGGTCCAGAGAGACCCAGGTTTGGTTCCCACTGAGGGCATGTACCTCGGTTGCAGTTTGTCCCCGGCCCTGGTTGGGTTGTGCGGGTGGCAGCCACTCGATGTGTCCCTTTCACGTCGATGTTTCTCTCTCTCTCTTTCTTCCTCTCTCTTCCTCCCACTCTATCTGAACAAAAATGGAAAAATGTCCTCGGGTGAGGATAAAAAAAAAAAGAAAGAAAGCAGAAATGTTTCATAGTATATCTTAAGGAATTGGGTGGAGACAGCATGAGTGCTTATTGAGATGTAATTTTGGGGCCCGAGGCTATCAGTCCAGAAACTTCCATCTTAGAGTTTTAGAAAGAGAGTCACTACCTGAATTTCATCTTCAATTGGAAGGAAGAGAAATAGGACAAAAACATCAGGAAATTATAAGACTAATCTAAGGCATCTCATTTTGATGAACAAAGACCTTATTTATTAATGTGTTTTTGCCATGTTTGGTAACATTTCTATTTTTTGCTTATACCCGGGCTTTTGAATAGTTTTTTTTTAATAATCAGAGTTTTCCCATTACAACTTTCATTCTGTATCACCCTAAAGAGAATTTTAGACTTAACTGTACCTTTATTTCTCAGTCTTTTCTTCTCAATAACAAGACCATTGAGAATTTTAAAGAAATTGTTCTCAATTTCTCATTTCAACTATTTATTCTGCTAAGGCTGTTCCAAATTGTCTTCTTTCCCCTGCCGAGTGACTCAGCTTTCAAAGCAGCTGTGGCTCTTAGACCTGGAAACGAGCTAGCCTGAATTGAGGTGTGTTATCAGTGAAAACTGCACACCCAATTTTAAAGACCTATTTTTTTAAAGTAAAATATCTCAGAAAGCAGTCATATTGGAATGAGATTTTAGATAGATTGGGTCAAATAAAATATATTATTAAAATTAACTTTTCCTATTTATTTTTACTGATTCAACATGAATTCTGGAAAATTAAAAATGACGCATGTGTCACGTTCTGTTTCTGCTGGACAGCTCCCCGAGTCTCGTATCTTCTTCAGCCTCCCAAAGCACCTTCATTGGTTAAAACTTAGTTCTGTCATCTCTAAGTGCAGAAGTGTTATGTTCTGTTTTGTTTCAATCCTCACCTGAGGATATTTTTCCATTTATCTTCAGATAGCGTGGGAGGGAGGGAGGGAGAGAGAGAAACATCAACCTGTGTGGGGCACATGGACTGGTTGCCTCCTGCACGACCACGACCAGGGCCGGGGATGAACCGCAGCGAGGGGAGTGCCCTTCACCGGAATCGAACCCGCGACTCATTGATCCTCCGGCCGACGCTCTAACTGCTGAGCCAAACCGGTGAGGGCGTGAAGAAGACTTTTCATTTCCTAGCTCTTAGCTGCTCCCGTGGTAAGCTGCCCTCCCCCTCATCACCGGCTTCCTCCGTGCTTCAGCCAGGCTTGAAGTAAGCAGATGTCAAAGGCTTAAGTAAAAAAGCACTAAAACACTTAGAATAAATTTACTGTACTTCTAGTTAAATCTCTCCTAAGGTGAATGAAAACTGAGATTCCCTTTTAGCTTTCTAAGGTCTTTTAAATTGTTTAAAACACAATTTTAATATAAGGCCAAAGGTCCCTACACCAGCACCACCACCACCCGCATACACATGTACTTCCCCAAAGGTGGGGAGGGATCGTGTTCTGCTGGAGCTTGGTACTGAGGGCGCCGGTGACTAACAGAAGCAGGAGAAGTGGGAGTCAGGGCTGGGTGAGGGAAGGGGCCTTGTGGGGAAATAGACCCACGTCTCGGAAAAGGTGCTGACAAGTCAGAGCAAAGCCTTGAGGGTTAGAGTTAGACCCAGAACTCCAAACTCTTCTAGTTCCTGGACTTTTCAAGTTGTTACAGACAACTTAGAAACAGGAGCAGATATGGATAAGGAAATATGCATCTTTACAAAGCAGCTGACCAAAACTATGTGCATTCGATGAGGTTTCTGATGTGACTGGAGTCATGGGAACTAGACTTCAGTAGTAGGGGTAGGCTTTAGACGTCAGTTTTCAACTTTGTTCTCATGGTAGGGTAGAGTCCTCTGAAAAGATTCTAAAGGCCAAGGAAGGCTTCAAGAGGGAATGAAGCAAAGTCCACAGGAAGCCGCTTTAGACACCTTAAGAGTGTGCAGTTCTAGGTGCTGTCATGAACTTCTGAGTAAGAGTGATATGATCAAAATGACACTTAAATACTGCTGTTGGATGTGGGATGGATGACACACCAGGAGGGCAAGAGTCTGGACAGGAAGGTGGCGGGGATGTCCTGTGGGAGGGGCGGTGGCAGGCCGCGGCAGGGTGTGTGAGGCAGGTCAGCAGGAGGCGCCCTGGCGCGATGGGGGAGAAGCCTCAGCATGTGAAGTGACTTAATACATGTTGACGCACTTTGACTTCATTTCTAGTTCATTTGTTCCATGAAAGAATCATCTTTGCAGTTTCCCATATTAACCACACACTTGGAAACCTATATTTAAACATAGACTGTTACAGAAATACCACAACTTTGTTTTCTAAGGCTTTAACACCATTTTTAGCTGGTAAAAGATCTATTTTTAAATGTGAAACATTGTTTTGACAATCTGGTCGAGCAACATTTTTCAAATCAAGGCCAAGGAAATGATCACAGAAAGGTAGCTGTTACAGACCCTGTGATGCCATCATGTGAGAATACCGTACCCAGAAAACCCTTCACTTTCTAAGCGGGAGGCGATCTACTTCGGAAGAGGTGTGAGCTGTTTGGACGCAGCCATGGGAACCCTGCCGCCCTGTCCACGCGCCCCTTTATGCATGAAGCTCAAACAGGGCCGAGCAAACAAGCTTCTCTCTTCACTTCCCTCCGCTTTCTGATGTCACCACCCAAGGTGTCTCAACGATAAGGGTGGGGAGCAGCCAGGGGAGGTAGCAGACTAAAATGAATGACCCATGTGGATGAAACTAGTTCAGACGGATTCACAGGGTAGGATGGAGGCAGAAATGGTTCGCTGGCAGGCTGCTGCTTTTTTAAATCATCCCCTGTTAAAAACTATTCAATTGATGGAAATTCCTGAAATCACCTTGCTAGAAATAAAGGGACCAATGGTGACAGAGATGTACTTTAAGAATTTAAAAGGAGCCCAGCTGGTGTGGCTCAGTGGATTGAGCACCATCCCATGGACTGAGAGGTCCTCGTTCGATTCCTGGTCAGGGCACATGCCCGGGCTGCGGGCTCGATCCCCAGTAGGGGACATGCAGGAGGCAGCCTACTGATGGATGTTTCTCCTTCTTCCTTCCTCTCTCTCTCTAAAAATCAATAAAAGTATATTTTAAAAAAAGAATTTAAAAGGAAAAATTTAGAAATATTTTGCTTTGGGGTTTGTTTGCCTATTGATTTATATATGTTATATTTATAAATTAGACAGCTGTGTCCAGTGTATTCTATTTCCGGTCTATTGATATTTATACAAGCACTTCATTTACAGGTAAGTCTCAGCAGAAGCGTATTTGGAGTATGGAAAAGTCAGTTTGTGGGTTCAATTTCACTTTCTTCCTCTCTTTTTTTTACTAGAGTCTCTATGAAGAAAGGAGCCATTGACGCAACATCCTGGTCAAAACCTCTTGATCGACCTTCTGATTTCCCTTCAGAATAAGATGCAGCCATGGTGGATATTATTATTTGGAAAATGAAAAGACAGATTTTAGGGAGGGGGAAAAATACAAGTGAGCGAATTTTTTCTTCTGCCATCAATAAAATTAATGTGCTATTACATACATTATTTTGCAGTATGTTTTATTTGCTGAATGCTGTCTTTCTCCTTTATCTGCTCTTGACGCCACACTAATGGTCCTCTATAGACAGAGTAGCAATGACAGCATCCAGGAGCCTCCCCTAATAATTACAGAATAAACTGACTTGCCACATTTCTTGCAAAAACAATCTGAAGCCAAACAGCAGTTCTTAGTATGGTAAGTACTTTGCTGCTAAGTACAGCAGCAAAAAATATTTAAAATGCAAATATATTGTTTTTAGCACGCTCTTTGTTTTTTCAAATTCAATTCGATTATAAAGCAGGCATTTCCTCCTTGTAATATGTGCAGTGGATCTTTCAGGATACATCTCAATTGCAAATAACAGAAAACCCCACTCAAACTGCTTCTATGTTTAGCCTAAACACTGAAGAAAATGTACTGACTCACTTCACCACCAGACGCTCGGTGGATGTCAGCTGAGTTAATTCAGTGACTCAGTCTTGTCACGAAAGACCCTGATTCTTGACGTCTCTCATTTCTGCGTGCTCTGTCTTCAGCAGGGCCTCCCATTGTGGTCACAAGGTGGCTGCAGTTCCCAGAGCTGTTAAGTGCAGGGATGGGGTTGGGGTCACTTCTGGAAGTGCACTCGGAAGAGAAAAGAAGCTTCTTCCCTTAGGCTGCATTCACCTGTATTGTGTCTCTTCTGTGCTTCTGAACCAGGAACTTCCTCAGGCGTCTGTGAGTTAGTTTAGGCCTGATCCAGCCTTACACAGGGCTGGTCTGCTTCCTGGAAGCACGTTTGGTTCTAGGCCAAGGGTATGCATCTGGAAGTCAGGAAACTTACCAAAAGGAGAGGGAGCGGGTGTTGGAAAAGCAACCCAGACTGCATTGCAGAGACCCAATGTGTCTGAACTACAGCCTCTTCATTTCGTAGGGCAGAGGTGGTCTTCCCCTACTCTCCGTCCCAGGAAACCGGAAGTGAACAATTGAAAAGAAAGAATGAGAAGGTAGGAAGGAAGGTGGAAGGAGAAGACAGAATCCTCCAGCCACAATAAGGGACAAAATTCAGTACTTTGTTTTAAAGGAGAGGGCCTAAGGCTCCTCTCAGGGGTTATTAATGCCAAGTTTCCTTTCTTTATTAGCCCACAGTTGATTATTTCTGCAATATCTTAATAAATGGAAGGGTGTAGATGAAAAAAATATGGCTTGCAGTGCTGGGGTTTTTTGTTTTTTATTCTTGCTGTATATCTTAGGCTTTTTTTTTTTTTTTTAAAGATCTCCACGTCATTCTCTGTGTATCTTAGGTTGAGAACCCGGAGAAGACCCATGGTTACCTTGATGACTTTGACAGCTGATAAGACAATAAGGGAAGAGGCAGAAGAATGTATTCTGAGGCCTAGACTAGTGTGTATCTTAGCTTTTAACACAAAAGTTTAAAAAGTAAACAGAACTTAAAATTTTTTCAAATAGGAAAAAGCTTGTGGAGTAAGGAATAGGGGAAGAAGTATTTTTGAAGAGCTATACGATGTGTTTGTGTTTTAAGCTAAATGTTACTACAAAAGAGTCAAAGAATTTTTAAAAATTTTAAAGTTTGTAAAGTTAAAAAGGGACAGTAAGCTGATGTTAATTTATTATTGAAGAAGGAAAGCTGCTTTTTCTTATCCTCACCCGAAGACGCTTTTGCATTTATCTTCAGACGGAGCGGGAGGGAGAGAGGGGGGAAGAGAGAGAGAAACATCAATGTGAGAGAGACGCATCGACTGGTCGCCACCCACACGACCCCAACCAGGGCCGGGGACAAACTGCAATCGAGGTTCGTGCCCTTTGCGGGAACCAAACCTGGGACTCTGGACCATGAGCCTACGCTCTAACCACCGAGCAAAACCGGCCAGGGTGAAAGCTACATTTTTATAAATGTAGTGTAGCCTGGGTATGCATGTTTATGAGGTCTGCAGTGTGTACTGGACTGTCCCAGGCCTGCCTGGGATCTCACCCCTCACTAGCTCACAGCAGCGTCCAGACCTGCAGACTCCATTCCTGGTAAGTGCCTATGCAGGTGTTTCATTTTTTATCTTTTATACCATATTTTTATTGTACCTTTTCTGTGTTGAAATGGGTTTAGAGACATAAATGCTTACTATTGTTACAGTTTCCTCCAGCATTCAGTATGGTAACATGTAACAACAGTAGCCCAGGAGTATAGGCTGTGCGAACAGCTCAGGAGTGTAGTGGGCCAAACCATCTAGGTCCGTGATGTTCGCACAGTGATGAAATTGCCTAACAATGTGTTTCTCCGAATGTATCCCTGTTGTTAAGCAACACATGACTGTTTCTCCACCTTGGAGCTTCACATTTAATTCATTTAGTCTTTGGACAGTGGTGTCCACTTTACTCAGGTTAGCCAAAGCCAGGACCCATGTCAGACCAGTGAGCCAAATAAAAGCATGGGATTCTTATTTGGTCAGAAAACAGCTTACTGATAGCATTGTAATAACCTGTTTATTAATTAACTGGAAAGGAGCAAAGGAAAGGAAAAATAGACTCGTGGTCAGAAACGTCTGGGTGACACAGGGAAGGTACTTGCCTGGCAGTCACACCGGGGAACAGGTCATTGGCCAGGAGAGGCGTGGCCACTGCAGTGGCCAGAAATCTGAGATATGGAAGCTCCTAGCTCCTAAACAAAGGGGTTCTCCTCCCTTGTTGCGCGGGGCTCCTGGCTGTCCTGTTGCAGGGGCGCACTCCCCAGCGTTTGGCCATGTGGACCCCCACAGTGGACTGATGCTGTGCGGGACTCAGCCCCACCAGGGACCGAAACTCCGGATGCTGACTTTGCGTTCAGCTCTGCTGAGTCTCCAGCGGTACCTCTTCCAGGACTGGTTTAAGGGAAATGGGACTTTGGAAACTGAGGAATCTAATTCCACGCAAATAAAAATCACTCATTCTCTTGTGCAAGCCTTGGAAAATTATTTTTCTCTAAATATGGTAAGAACCCAAGCCCCGGCACCCAGTGAGGGAAGGGATCCCCCAGTGAGGGAAGGGATCCCCCACTTCCACCAGTGGACACCCCACTTCCACCAATAACATAATTTTATCCCCCCCCAAATCAAACAAACATGGTAATAGCTTTCTTTTAAACACTCATCTCCTAAACTCTGAAGCAGATGGCGCCTCGTCATGTTTGCACAGCGAGAGAAGCTGCCTCGAGTGCTTGTAGGCCAAGTTCTAATGACCTTCCGCTCCAGGACCCTCCCGCAGGAGCCCTCCTTGCATTGCCTCCACTGCAGCCCCTTCTCCTTCCGGTCAGGAACAAGGAGTCATTTTAAGGTTTTTAAGAGGTTTGCCTTCTGCCCGGCTGGTGGGGCTCAGTGGTTGAGTGTCGACCCATGCACAAAGAGGTCACTGGTTCGATTCCCAGTCAGGACACATGCCCAGGGTGTGGGCCTGATCCCCAGTGGGGGGCATGCAGGAGGTGGACAGTCGATGTTCTCTCTCATCGATGTTTCTATCTATCTCTCTAAAATCAATAAAGGAAACTTATTTTTAAAAAAAGGTTTGTCTTCTCTTTCTTCTTCTCTCCTCCCCCCGCCCCTTTCCTTCTTCTACTTGTACGGTTAAAGAAGGAACAGCCAAGACTGGAGTCATTTGTCCCTACAACAGCAAATCAGGAGTTAATTGAAGTTGCAGTCTTTCTTAGAAGTGTGACTGAAAATATCAATGTGAAATTATCTGATTAGCACTGGTTGGGTAATCTGCATGTAAAACCCTACCAGTGTCTTCCCCCACAAAATAAGGTGGCTTGGCCTGAAAAAAATACTTTTTGTTGTTGTTGTTCATACCTTCTTGCCCCACCCTCCTGCCTCTGAAAGCCCGGGGTAGGTGGCTGCACAGCACCAGGTGTTAGAGCCCTGGGGTCAGACCAGACCTGGGCACAGCAACCTCGGTACTTGAGTTCTGGCCAAGAAAGAATTCAGAGCCAAGACCTAAATTGTAAGAGAACATTTGTTTGGAAAATCACAGAGGTAGAAGAAGTAATTTGTAGAAGAGGTGGGCTTAGGAAACAAGTTACAGAGGTAAAGGAAGGGCTCTTGGAGCTTGGAGTGAGGAAGGTACTGATAAGATGGGGAGAGGGGAGGCACAGGCACGCTCCCGGGAGGACGCGCGCCCTGGGTCCTTGGTCCTGGGGGTGGTTTTTGAAAATTTTTTTCTCTTTATTGATTTTAGGGAGAGAAGAAGGAAGAGGGAGTAGGAGATCGAAACATTGATGAGAGAGATCATGATTGGCTGCCTCCTGCATGCCCCCCACTGGGGATTGGGCCCACAACCTGGGCATGTGCCCTGACCAGGAATCGAACCGGCCACCTCTTGGTGTATGGGTCGACGCTCAACCACTGAGCCACGTGGGCAGTACTATGGGTTTTATGGGGGGAGATTTTAGGGGAGGTCCCAGGGTAAGATCTTGCTGTTGTTGTTCCACCTATTCATTTATTTTTGACCTTTTTATTTATTTATTTATTTATTTTTTTTTGTTCAGACAGAGTGGGAGGGAGAGAGAGGAACAGAGAGAGAGAGAGAAACATCGATGTGAAAGGGACACATCGAGTGGCTGCCACCCGCACGACCGATCAGGGCCGGGGACAAACTGCAACCGAAGTACGTGCCCTTAGCGGGAACCGAACCCGGGTCTCTCAGGACCGCAGGCCTACGCTCTAACCGCTGAGCCAGGGTAAGATCTTGCTGTTGTTGTTCCACCTATTCATTTATTTTTGACCTTTTTATTTATTTTTTAATTAACTTTTGTTACAGATATTTCTCCTTTTCCCCCATTGATACCCTCTTCCTTGCTCTCCTAGGAGAAAATCTTAATAGAATATTCAGCAGCTTTCCAGATGTGTCCTTTCAGTGTTTGGTAACCACTGATGGATGGGGCGGTGCCAGGGCAGGGAGTCCTTAGTCAATGAGGCTGGTCTGAGGTCAGCTGTGGTGTCACTTGCCTGGTTTTGCTGTTTCTCTGGGCCTGGAGCTGAAATACAAATGAGGCCTAAATGTTAACTCTCGAGAGGAAAGGTCAGAGGTC